GTCCGAATGAACAGAAATGTCCGATAGTCCGAAGTGTCAGACTGACGAATCATATTGCCCATTTGGACTATCGAACCTTATTCTCAATTCGGACTTTCGAACCCTATCCAACCCTACCGTATATTCGGACTATCAAACCTTATCATCTATTCGGAATATCGAAACTTATTTTCTCTTCCGACAATCGAACCCGATCGTCTATTCGGACTATTGAACCCTCGGATTAATTAACCTTATTCCATTTTCGGACTAATGGGCCCTTCGGACTATCGAACTGTCGGACTATGGAATCATTGGACTATCGAATCATCGGACTATCGGGCTGTAACATAATGAACATGCATGGTAATAATAATGTAATATATTAAGCACAAATAACAGCGAATACGTGTGCTTTACAAATACGCATTATTATTTATCATTATAATTAAAATTATTAGATCCGCATAAAAACAACCGATTGGAGGGGACACATCAGCGGCTTGCCCTGTGCGCTATAATGTGCGTCGAAAAGTCGGTCACTGGACTGACGCATCAACTCGAATGACGCATCAACATTAGCCGTACTATAATCTCGTGATTTTAAGGATTTGTGCGAACACGGCAGAGCATCAGCGGAGTCTCCCTTGCCGAAATTATCTAAAATTCCTTCAATTTACAAGATGAATTAACATGCAGAAATGTCAGCGCGAATATCGTTAATAGGAATAAAACCGCCATGTCGCACAAAAGGCGTGGAAAATGTTAAGTTGTTGCTTTGAAAATGAAATACTGACAGTGTGGATTTCTAAACATAAACAGAGCAGCCTGTATTGCAAGTAAAATTCCCCTATGAGCACAGTTTTACTTTCATTGTGAACAACTAATAAAAATATATTTTATTTTTCATATTATATATTTTTTTGGGACAAGTGATAATTTTAACCGAGCGTCAATGCGGCATCATATTGTTTTATTGTTTATAATCCATCCATGTACACATTGTGTTTCTGAAAATGAAATAGAGTGATATCAGAAGATGTTTATGCCTGTGGAAACAAACAGGAAACCTTATGTGTTGCAAGTTTAGTTTATGTAAATAAGTTTAGATCTGCATTCATAAAGGACATGGACACCATGTGCAAAGCAAATAAGGACAATAAAGCCGAACAGGCTATTTACAAATTATTAAACTGTTGAAATTTCAGCTCAATAAGATATCGCAATAAAAAAGGAAAATGCACATGTCACTGTTATGAAAAAGTACCCCCTTCCTCTAAATGTTGGTTTACTTGTTTATTTACCAGCCCGTATTTTATTATTCATTAGCACCCAAACTCATTCTTATTTAAATTCACCAACGGCCAATCCACACTCGCCGTTGGTGGCGTGGCGGAAATACGTTCAAGTGATTCTGTGCATATCCCGAGAGGAGAGCTGTTGTGTTAATTCCCTCTCCAAAATTTTCTTCATTCTTGCAAGTAATATGATACATTTATTTCTTATATTTGTAGAAGTAATTCCATTAATCCTACCCATCAACCAACTGTTCCATTTAGCGTATGTTTCCTGACATTTTCAATAATTGTGTTGTAATTTACGTGACATGATTGTCTCTCGGGGGTTGAGAGAAGGAACAATCATTCATTTTCCTAGATCTACGTAAATATTCTCTTAGTTAAATATAGGATATGTTGTATATTGGATTGTCTTTTTAGTGTTCAGGAGAACATAACAGAGCGACGATTTATTTTGTTTTTATTGGATTAAGGATTATTTTCAAAATGACGGTCGTCATCGATCGTTTAGCGGAAATCGCCCAATACACAAAATTGTCTTAAAGACTATGCAAATAAATCTGTTAATTTCTAGCTGTGACATAATACTATTTAAAGAGTGCGAACGACATTGTGGTCTAATGATGATAAGCTAGCAGTGTATATCTTTTCGCGCACAAAAACAACCCAAGAACAAAACTAAATGTTTGTGTTTGTATTAAGGCAGACACCGGTAACAAATGTTCGTATCAATACAATCATACAAGTTATAAAACATTTAAAACTTAATGCAACTGGTTGAAGAGTAAGGACGGTATGTGTGTATCGCTAGAGAGAGTGGGAGTTGACATGATGCCAAAGTAATGATTTCGACTCGACTTCAGGCCTATTATTCCCTTCAGGTGCAGCACACGCGCCTGTGTTGTAGACCGACACTTGTCTGGCATGCACAGTGCATTGGACTATGAACTTTATTCAGCCCGTCAATGCATACTGGCAGCAATGTGTATAATTTATAGACGGGGTTGAAGTTCAAAGTTGGAGCACGCGTGTGCAAATAATATGTTATGATAATAGTCACGCATATTTCGGGACTAAGTGGAAAGTCCCCGTAGTTTTTGGAGCACGCAATGCCAAGGCAGCAATAACTCAACAATATCACAGCGATGTCTTCGTTGGTGGTTTATCTTACCCGACTAAATGTGAGATAATCGACTTGGAGTAATATATGAAACACTGAGCCGGCCATAACGAACCACCAGTGCTGTTGGTTTTCACAAGAAATATGGTGAGTTTCAATAATCTTACGTTCCTCATATTATAATTATGCGCCTTTGGGATTAACATTCTAGCAATAGGCGGTTATGTGCAAAACAGTTAATCCGTTAACACTTGGACTTTGTGTAGCAACCTACAAGATATGCCCGGCAAACTGAGGTGAGAATCCTGTCGTAAAGGTATTTTCCGTCAAATTTCAGACCTTGGTCATTATCTTTCAGAAGAGAAATTCGCTTAGAAGGGAAATCCAGTACCTTGTGTATTTTTTTCAATGTAAAGGTGGTCATTATGATACAACTCTGGATAATTATGTTCAGTTCAACTCTAGCCAGGGCCGACCTTCCACAAGACTATTTGCTGATCCTTTCAAATTATCCGTTCCCCACTGCAATTCTGAATCTCTTAATCTTTCTTTGTACTGGGGTGTCTCACTGTCGTTGTGCTGGCTGCAAATTTTTAACAAATTCCCATTTCTCATATTCCGCTTTTCAGTTTTCCGCTTGACACTATATTATTTCACTTGCGGCATGCGCAATACAGCCAAGGAGTCTGAATTTCTAATAGAGTCCAAATTAGGTTCGGTGCTTCGGAAGTCGCTCGGCACAAATTCCGCTGCAGTCAATTTCTGTGTTTAATGTTATCATTACTATACTTTTGATGTTGAAACAGCTGACACTGAAGTTTCTTCCATGAATTACATCACATAATGTTTACATCATCGTCAAATGGTTACAGCGCCCTCTTGTGATTTAACACTGTATTCCAAGGGCGCAGCCATGTTGTCTTCACCTCGCGTAGGCCCTATAAGGTTCCAGACCAGTAAATAGACTGCCATAGACCTCAGTGATATTACGCGCACTTCCTAAAATTATTAAAAATAATCACAACATCTCCCATGTGTTTGAGACGCACATCAAACTGAAGCCTATCTCCTGATCTTTCGTTTTGCGTTCAGTTTCTTTTGGACCGCCTGGGGGGGGGGGGGGGGGGGTATCTAACGACTTTTGGGGAAAAAATCCATCCAAAAATGATCACCCCTAAAAGCAGGCCTGAAGCCCATCGCCATTTTAAAAAAGACGCCTACGCTTCGTAGATTTGGCCGGCGAAGGCAATTTTGATTTTATTTCTTGAAAATAATCGCTTATATTCTCAAAACCATGCAGAATGCAAACTCCCGTTCTACGATAGTCCCGTTTCAGGCATGTCCTATTACAAAAAACGCCTCCTTTCAAATCGACATGGGATTCACACAACGGGTTTGTTAATTTTGCGTCAGTTGAGATTTTCCTCCTTTTATTTTAACCCCTCAACAATTGATCAGCTCTTTATATCTATCACGATTGTATTTATTATAATAAAACGCTCTAGACATAACGACAAGATCGTAGTACTTTTACTGTCATAATAGCCAGGTGTACCCGCTGCACAAATAAAACAAATAGCAATCAATGCAATTAAAACAACGAAATGTAACATAATTGCTCTAAAAACGCAGACAAGCACACTTTAGAGGTATTTAAAGACTTCTATTTCACGATCTATACTGAGCAAAAAAATGTATAACAACCAACCAGCAATTTTCAACTATCGTTGCTAGTCTCAATGTTATTAAGGTTTACAACACTACAATGCCATTTTCTTTATAATTTAGATAACGCAAAAGCATACCTCAACAAACTTTTTGCCAAGAACTTAACATCTCTAATTTGTTTTCTCCATTAAGGTGCACTACATATTATTATGCTGTCAATTAAATGGATATTACTATATGTAAAACATTACACTTACTTTTCTTTTGGAAACTATTGTACATTTAAACTTCAAACGAGGAGCGTATTAAACAAAGAAAACCTGCTTAAAAGCAATACAAAGACGAAAAAAAAAAATAATTAAACCGACCGATGCAACAAAAAGAAGCCAACTGATAGACCGACCTTCTGTAAAAAAAATTAAATACATTAAAAATGAGTTTTCATACAGGGTGTATCCAATCAGGTATTCAAAAATTAATGGCTTTGATTAAGAAAAGGAATTAATCATAAAATTAGCTTAAAGAATTAATCATCAGCTGTCCATTGATACCTCACTTGGCTCACTGAAATATAAACTGAGCACCACTGATTTCAAAACAAATGCCAGGATATCTCGTTTCCCCAATTTGCTGGATATAAGTTGAAAGTTAAGCTGTCCGAAGAATGCGCTGTCGCAGTGACAGTGCGATAAACAGCAGGTATGTTGAAGATGTGGCTGCATAAAGTGGTATGCCGACATCGTAAAGTTGCTCACCGATTACCTTTTTGGACGTGGTTATAAATTAATGCCCCGTCCCCCCCCCCCAAAAAAAGAAAAAAACACCCAAAAACAAAACAAACAAAACAAAACAAAAAACCCAACAAGAACAATAAAAAAAACCCCAAAAAACAAAACAAAACAAAATCCCAAAAAACAACAAAACAAAGACAACGGAGAAATGTTAAGGGAAAAAAATAAGTGGCAAGGTCCAAGTTCAATAAAGTGATTCTCCAAAAATGTATTAAAAATCTTGAATAACAAACATAAGTTCGTTATAGATATGTCTATACTAATACACTAAAATGACCCGCGGTAAGACCGAATATAATAGGCCTATGCTTATTTAAAATACCATGCATTGTACTGACATTCCATGGCACGCTGTAATAAGGTTATTGGGTACATAACAGTCTCCAGTTTTTGCATATCACTCGTCTTTTGTACCCCCAACATGGCGCCGCAATCGTCAAAAAATACGGCCTATTAAGACAAAGGAAAACAGTTGACGCAGTTGAACGAACGCTGATGTCGATTGATCAGTTGTCATCAAACTCAGGCCGGATGGTACTCAAATTCTCGTAACGCACTCGGTCAAAAGAAAAATAGGTCTGAAAATTAAAAAAAATGAACAATGTCCTTTATAAGCGTGTGTGCATACCCTCGTGGTTAGGGCCTAGCCAGATTTTTAAACCACACTAGTAAAAAAAGATTGCTTCCAACAAAAAAGTGTGATACATGTATTAAGTGCAGTGTACCTATCTAAACAAAAGGAAAATGTTTTGTTTATTTTCCTCTAGCTAAATATCTAAGAGGATGCGGTGGGCTAGGATAACTTTGATGCGAAATTGATGCTTTACTTACATGTTCAATTTTACTGTCATCCGTGCCACTTAGGGTAGAGACCAGTTCAGAGAAACTTGGTCTGTTGTTCGGATCCTCTTCCCAGCACTTACGCATCAGGGCGTAACTAATTTAAATGAGTCACAGGGAAACCTTATGAGTGAAGATTCTTCTGATTTTCAGATCCTGCTATTAGCACTCGCTTAGGCAGAAATCACGTGAATGAATGTTTTTAACAACAACATATTTTGTAGCATAAACTAGAAACACATGCTGTAATGTTTATGGCAGCTAGTCCATTGCTACATATGGCTGCATCTCTCTTTGTCCACAAGACTATACCTTTTCGAAAAGACTTCCAGACTATTTAAGTAGCCCTAGGCCCACATCACATGCATGCATACTTCTACTCATCAAACTGGTGGCTCGGCATTGACAAAAACGTATTGCCTACGGAGCATTGTAGCGGGGTCAAGTTTGCCGTACGAGCCAGCTTGAATGTTGACACGCAGAGGTGCTGACACTCGCTACCTACTGTTCCGCCAAGAGGACGTTTCAGCAGGTCTTTTTAAAGCAATAATTATATATTTTGGACAAAAACTACCTGTTGATAAAACTGAGCACCTATTAAGTGAACATCTTACCTTTTGTCGTCACAGTTGCTTGGCTTGGGCATACGGTATCCTCTCTTCAGCTTCCTGGCCAGTGACTCGCTCTTGGTGGTCGGGTAGGGGGTTCCCCCTTCACAATGTACGTTAAATATAAATTAGATACAGTGGCAAAAGGGGAAAGGACCGATTGTTTAGTTTTCACACCACTTCAAAGAATCTTGATGGAAATAAAGTTGCCTTCAACGGTTTGATAATGGCAGGACAGATTTCTTTTTTTTATTTGAGCTAAAAAAAAGCAGTATATTTTTAAGCAGAATATGTCTTACCTATTGTGGTTATTTCCCACAAGAGGATGCCAAAAGACCACCTGATGATGAGAACAATTAAGTCAAGAATTCTTTAATTCTGTGACGGAAAATATTTCGCAAAAAAAAACAAATCTAGATAAAGGCCTGCATCACCCATCAAAAACTCTATACGATGAACAAGGTTCTTTGTACTTACACATCACTCTTTGTCGTGTACCTCTTATACCTGATTGACTCAATAGCCAACCAGCGGACTGGAACTCGTCTCTATAATTCAAATAAATAAACCATAATAATACTAATCAAATGCAAATGAAAAGACATAAAAACTAATCTTAAAAAAGGCATGGGTTAAATTTGACCCGGAGTTATGGTCATATTTGATCTGATCCTTTCTTTTTCGGGTCAAAATCACACTTTTCCGTGTCAAAAAGACCAATACAATGACCAAGAGTATTGTCATTTTGACCCAGAAAAGTGACATTTTCACCAGGAGAAGTTTCAGAGCAAAAATAGCCCGGAGTCCTGGTCAAATTAGACTCGGGACTTTGTGTAGATTGTACTTTTTGTCAACTTCTGATGATATGGGGATGTTCCATATAATGTCCTTGCATGCCAAGAAAGAGGTCAAGAATCAAAATCATACATATTTGCAATATCTCAATCAAAGTCAAATTTCAAGAAATGTCACCAACACGTGGGGGTGATGAATACCGAAAAAGAATTGCCTTACTTTGCTACAATTGATTTGAAATTTGACTTGAATTCAATGGACTATTTATGGACTTGTGACTGACGAAATTATTTTCTCCGCCAAGGAGGTAATGCTTTCATCGGTGTTGGTTTGTCAGTTAACAAGATAACTCAAACAGTTCTGGATGTAATTTTATGAACCTATTTTTAGGAGGGGTCCTTGATACAAGTACGAATCCATTAGATTGTGGAATTGATCGAGATCTGAGTCTGGTTGCAGGAATTCTCTAAAGGATTCCTCACCATTTTGTATGTGCGAATACATGTATATGCTATTTGAAGAGACCATGAAATTGGGACACGTGTTTGGGTCACCAGCGTGCAGTCTATGGATGCAGACCAATAAATAAATGTCCATAGACCCCACTGATAAATGCCCCCACTTCAGAAAATCAGAAAAAATACTCATAACTCTCTGCGGTATTCAAGAGGTACATCAAATTAAAGTTTATTTCATCATCTTTCATTTTCTGTTCAATTTTCTGGGGGATCACGAATCATTTTTGAGAGAAAATTCCATCCAAAGATGATCACCCCTAAAAGCAGTCCTGAAGCCCATCACCTACGCTCCATTGCAAAATAGAGCCATTTTAGGGCCTAATCATCATCCACATTTCACAAAAATGCGAGCTCGCATTCCACTGCACGGCTTCCAAACTTCTTTTGTTTTTTACAAATCATCAAGTTCACGGCCTTCACAATGATCTAACATTGAAGAATTTGAGGGCATGCAAATCTTGATTTGGCCGGCGTAGGCAATTTCGGGCCGATTTACTGGTCTGCACCCTATAAAGAAGCGAGGTTGTGAAAAATTCCCCAAACCATGCACGTGTACGGCATGAGGGAGGATGGATAGCCCATATTTCATTAAAAATTTGTAAGGAAAAAACCTCTGAGTTCTACATCTAGACTGAATACAGGGACTCTGTTTCTGGCTGCGTTGCTGTAGGGCGCCCCAACGGGACTTAATTGACTTCCAGCTCCTTACAACCCCAAATCACCCCCCCCCTTTTACGCTCGAAATTGCTGTGATCGGATGACGGTAAACCGGCTTCTTTAGATTTGGGAGCATTTGTTGCTGAACCGCCATTGGTGACCCCTTTTTTGGAACACCCCCCAGGTCACGCTACCTGAAAAAAAAAAAAATGTCGTGAAATATAAAGCGCATGCGCACCGCTTACGGTAGACACCGCCATGTTTGCACTTCGGCTTGCAGACCAGTAAGTAAATGTCCATATAGACCCCAATGACAAATGCCCCCACTTCAGAAATTCGGGAAAAATACTCACAACTGTCTGAGATATTCAAGACGTACATCAAAGTAAAGCTTATTTCATCATCTTTAATTTTCTGTTTAATTTTCTTGGGGTTAACAATGACTTTTGGGAGATAATTCCATCCAAAGATGATCACCCCTAAAAGCAGTCATGAAGCCCATCGCCAATTTGAAAATGGACGCCTACGCTCCATTGCAAAACAAAGCCATTTTAGGACCTAATCATCATCCATATTTCACAGAGCTACGAGCTCGCAGTCCGCTGCACGGCTTCGAACTTCTCCTTTTTTTTTTTTTTTTTTTTTTTACAAATCATCAAGTTCACGGCCTTCACAATGCTCTAATACTGAAGAATTTTAATGCATGCAAATCGTGATTTGGCCGGCGTAGGCAATTTTGGATGGATTTACTTGTCTGCACCCCTATGTGCTCAAGCGCACACATCACTGAAATCAACAGGTCAATGGACTCAACCACTTGATACTATGCTTGAGTGGGGAACGTGCAATAAAATATGCAAGTCCAGTGGATATTGGTGTACATGTATTTCTGAGGTGATTTTGTGGCGGTTTGCGCTTTCTGAGTGCTGTCTAGTTGACTTGTTATTCACTAGTTACTGTCTTACTTGTGTCTGACTGGCAATATGAGCTTTGTAAAATATTTCAGAATCGTATGAACCTCTCTAAAACTGAAATACGAACTTGGTACATAGGTCTGGAGTTTAGTTTAAAACAATTACCTTTGATGTTTGGACGTAGATATCCTCCCCTCTGGACAGTCCAAAGTCTGAAACCTTAGCTGCCAGCCCTTCAGATAGTAGGATGTTCCTGGCAGCCAAATCTCGGTGGATCACCTGTTAAGATCAAAGAACACAATAACAATACCTCTGAATCCATTGTGGAACTGTTCCCGAGGACAGAGCCTTCATTGCTGCACGTAAAGTCCAAGGTCAAATTTTGATTTAATTTCGGGTCAGATTTGACCTAAAGCTGGCTAGAATTGAAACATGCCATATCTCTGTGTTACTCTTCGGGGTCATTTGATCCAAAATAATGTCATTGTGACGAAACAATTGTCATTTTGACCACATTAATTTTAGTATACGTAAATTGTTTGATTTGAACCAGGAGCGTGCCAGGTGTAATCTGACCCCCGGATTCCGGAGGTAGATTCTTCCAGAGGTAGATTCTTGAATCTACACCGGGACTTTTAATAGTGTAGGTTAGCATTTTGACCCGGAATGTGATCAATAGAAGTGTAATTTTGGACCATGAATAGTATCAATCCCAATAAAACTCGGACTTCTTGTCAAATCCAAACAGGGTTTCTGTAGAGTGTAAATATGAAAACTGAGCCTTTCATAATCAATAACTGAAAAAAAAATGCAAATATGTGACGGGTCCTTACCTCCGCTTTAGCAAGGTGCTCCATTCCCTTGGCAACATCCAGAGCAAACTTGACCAGCTGATCGGAAGACAAGGCATCCTCGTCTGAGTCTGACTGTGAGCGAGCCGTCCGCAGGTAGCTGCGCAGATCACCGCGGGGAAGATACTCCAACGCGACGTACAACACCTCTGGTTAAGAAACAGTGTGGTTTCCGGAGTCAAGGTCACATGCTATTTTCACATGTTTATGTAAACACGTCATAGAAAGCAACTGGTTCATCTTTGTTCGACTTGATCAAAAAGCACACTACCAAACTGAACTAAATATACATTGTCTCAATCTCAAATGTAACTTTGTCTTTTATTTACGGGTCTGTTATCGTTGTTATTCAGTCAGTTATTATCAATAAATGTTTACAATAAACCGAATACATACGTCGATGTTGACATGCGCCAAGCAGCGAGACGACATTAGGATGGTGGCCGAAAGAGGTCATCGTGCGAAGTTCATCGATGAAATCATCTTTCTCACTCACCGATGCGTAGCCTGTTTGAGAAACACAATGTTTAACATTATAAAGGTATATAGCTGTCAACTTAGTATCACAAAGTTGCCGTGTATATTTGAACTGTGATTAGAACAGACCAACCCATTAGGCCACGCCCACTGCGCACGTGGACAAGAAGACGTGCGCCTCACTGAATGCCACATTGATAATGGACATGAATGACATGCCCACATTTCCATCATACGCGCATGTACCCATGTCAGACACAAATACACGGATGTGATTGGTTAAAACGCCTTTGGGCGGGCTTAATTGTCTGTGTATTGCCGTTAGACCTTTGTAAGGTATATAATAACCTCACATGATAAGTATTTAAAGATTACCTTTGAGCATCTTGATGGCAGCCCTTGTTAGTTCTCCATCTTTCATCACAGCACCTGATCGTACCTCACCAAAGTTCCCACTGCCGAGGACTCGTTCGTCCATGATGAGGTCGCAGCGAGGCACCTTCCACCCCTCAGCCCAGGGAGGTAGATTGTCATCATCATCGCTTTCAGGTAGCATTGGTGTTTCCTCCTGTGGTGGTATAGTGTCATCATACTCCACCTGCGGAGAACTTGTGTCTTCGTATTGGTGTGCAATCTGCTGTGAAATTTTGTATTCGTACTTGTGTAAATCTTGTGGTGAAATCCTTATTTCGTATTTGTGTGGATCTTGTGGTTCAATTCTGTCTTCATACTTTACTTCCGGTGAGCTGCCGACCTCAGACTGACCTGGTTGTTCTAAAGCATCCTGGTCCAAAGCAACATCCTTGAAAGAAAGAGACACACAAAGACAAAATATGTAAAATTTGATACAAAACATATCTATGTTTTTCCCTCGACTTATCAATTTCCTCTGGAAACTAGCAGAGCCTCCTTCGTTTTCAGTGAATTTAAAGCCATTCTGAAAAGCTTTTGGCATTCAAGAAAAAAATATACTTGTCAAGTCTATAGCATTTGAACAATTTGCACGTTTTAGGTCACTAGACTTTTTATGCTGTTTCTTGATTTATTTGAAAGCTCCTGAGTTTAATTTGAAATTCATTATTTTGCTTTCCTTTGATTGCATGTATAATTGAATTTAAACATGTCTGAGATTAAGGCCTGACCTTTCGTATTTTTTTCTGAATGCAACTTTCAATTACCTATCGTTATATAAATAATAAATCCGTTTAAAATTATCGCGTGACAATTTCAATGGAATTCTTTCACACTTGAATTTCCCTTTCCATGTTTCATTTTCTTTCTGTTGTTAATATTTCCATTTTTAATTCATTATAAAAATCAGCCAAATAAACAAAGGCTCACCATTTCGACAGACGATCGCGCGTCACGTTTGATCTGCACACAACGTTGTGCCCTGCGGTTCCTTTTAAACTTGACAAACATCACGATTGCCATGACAATCAATGCGCTCAGAACACTGACCACAGTTACTATGGCGATAGGCACTCCATTTTCACCTTTGACGAGAGCATCTTTTTAGTTGAATAACGAACAGGTTATTTGTTTAAATGAGAATATTTCACATATTTTGAAGACCAATCAATGTTTTCTTTTGCTGACACACTCAAAGAAAGCCTTGGATCAGATTTGATCCGGAACCCGGGTAAAATTTTACCTGACATGTTTTAGGGTCAATTTTTTTTTACTGGTCATAATGACACTTTTTCAAGTTTTTGGCTGTTGAATAATGATCCAGAACGTGTCATTATTACTCAACAAGTGTCATTTGACCCTGAAAAGTATCAAGTCAAATATGACGCGAATTCTGGGTCACCTTTTACCCCAGTACCTTTAAGAATGGGTATTACATGTGAACAAGGAAAATGTATCACATGACAATGTGAGACTGGGTCATACATCAGAATCATATAAGGAATAATTTTCTGTTCATTCTTTTACTTTGCTATAAAGCATCGCTATGAAATCATCTTTCCAAATAAAAATCGAATGTTTCCCATTCCAAAATTTCAGATTAGAATTGAAGTAAAGATGCACTATATCAGAACATACATTATGAAGCAAAACAGTAGATTTAGTTGAATAAAGTTTGTCTTTGCAACAAAAATAGAGAAACTAAAATGAAAGTTAGTTTTGACTTTACGGTTGTATCACATATGTAGCTTTCTCTTCAGTTGTGTCATAAACAAGTAGATGAGTCATGCAATTGTCAGGGAAAATTAAAAGGCTTTACTCAAGATCGAAAGAGATACCCTCTGTCACAAAGCATGATTTATTTATCTTTCTCCGTAATAATATTTTGTGTCCACAATACATTGCGTGAACTCCGTGCACATTTTGCTATTGAATACCCAAATCTAAACGACCATGGACAAATCTCTGATCTTCATGAAGCGTTAAGATAATTCACACTTCAGTTTGCTTGATGAGTCCCTTGAATTTACACTAACACACACATTGAGATTGTATCAATGCATGACAGAACAAACACATGATGCCCATTTTGGTGACATAAATTTGTTTCTAGGTAAAGAAATTAACATTTATTGAAATTGATTACAGGGAAGACAAAGGAATAAGACATTGAGGCGTATGCTTTTGATGAAATCACTGTCAGGTAAAAACAGGTCTGGGACCAGCAAACACATACAATACTCACCTGCACAAGACGTTATCAGCACTCTGGTGCTCAGTGACTGATCACTGCTCGTTGCAAGGCACGTTAGGTTACGTTCTCGAGTCTCGTTGCCAGGGTTTGTCACGATGTGCCAGCTGCTCACTTTGACCAGCCCAGCTCCGGTCCGTGTCTCGCTTTTAGTAGCGATCGCTTGATTCCCAAGCATCCACGTGAAGTTCCAGACCCCAGGTCTGGCGCCGTGAATCCTGCACTCGAATTGCCGCGTGGTGCCGGACTGGACGCAGACGGGGCCATACTCGGGATCGTCAAGCACAGCTCCTGTGGCGGGGTCCAGCAGATGCAGCCTGGCATCTAGTCGTTCCACCGAGGAGTCGTCAAATCGGGTTATCGAAGGGATCATCGAAGGGTGATCAAATGAAAACAAACATACAAACAATACAACACACCTCAAAATCGATGAAAGTGGTTCTCCATTTTTTGTTCTTGTGGTTTTCAAAACTTGCGGAGTCTGAACAACAATCTTTCAAATTGTTCAGTTTTTATATTTTGGACTTGGGGTGTGGAGGAAATAAAAAATAGTCCGAGGTACAGTTTGGGATATAAACAGGATGGAAATAGGTTGTTCAAACAAAATCACACGCTAAAGGCGGACTCAGAACACGGGGGGGGGGGGGAGGGGGCAAACAAAATGTTGTTCCCCCTAAACAAGTTAATTCATATTTACGCCGTGGGCTTCGGGAGCCCGCTTAAGGGCCCCGGGAAAAATGGATTGTAGATACTCTGTGGTGCGATCTGAGGCACTTTCTGACCACTTTGACCAATTTGTTTTTTAGCAAAAGATGGCGGCGTACGCAGTGCCTGCCTTTTTTGGCAACGTCATTTATAAAAATGGGGTGTTTTTTTTTTAGGGGGGGGGGCATGGCCCAAGTTGCCCCCCCCCGATCCGCTGTTGTCACGGGATGGCGTTCTGCTATAACTCGACTCACCGATAACATCGAGCTGAACGGTCGCTTGAAATTCCTTTAGGACTTCTTCGTCGGGAAACGCCTGACACAGGTAAAGGCCACCCGATGTCTCCGTAACGGGGTCGATGGTCAAACTGCAAGCCTTGTAGGTATCATTCCAGATGATAAAGTCGGTAAAGGTTTTATTCTCACCGCAGTTAGTCACCGTTTGGTTGTTGAAAAACCATCTGACTGTAACAAAAGGATCGTCACCAGACAGGACGCACGTGAAGGTGATGTTGGATCCAACGGTAGCATATCGTGGGTTTCCTCCCTGGATTGTGGGTTGTGCCGTTCCAGCTTTAAAAGATATTTAAAAGATTCACATCAGTGTATGGGGGAGGGGGTGAATCATCAGTTTGCCTTGTGTGCTATGATCACAAAGTCACTCTTCAGCAATAAACCGTATGCGTATAGTGGCCATCTAAGAGGGCCTCTTTTGTATATATGTACAAGAAGTCACTTATCCCATCTGAATTAACAAAGGCATTTAAGGTAGCTGCTACACATTAGGGCTATAGCTTCACTATAAACTTGTGATTTTAAGAATTAAAAAGACATATACTTGGGCTAGCACGGCGAAGCATCTGAGCCTCCTCCGCCGACATTATCTACTTTTCTTCAATTCACACATGAAATTGTTCTAACAGTCGTACTGGCATTACCTTTTTGTTCAATAAAGATTAACGGGCTTACCTTTGGAAACACGCAGACAAGTCAGTGCTGATAACGTTAAGAAGAATAAAAGCGCCATGTTGAACAAAGGGCTTTGTAAATATTATTGTTCCGTGTAGAGGCCCATTTCCATTGTGTTTCTGAACTTGAAAATGAAATACTGATAGTGATCAGTAAATGCCAATCTATGCCCGCATATTTGAAAACAAAACAGAAAGGAATCACAGTTCGTGCGAGTTTAGTTCCTCATTAATGCATTTCTGTTTTCACATAAAGATCTCGAAAGGTTAACGGACACCATTACATTTTGCAATCAAACGCACACAAAGACAACAAAAATGTATTTCCAGTTCAAGGTACAACAAAACAATAAACCCAAAGCAGTTTATTAATAATTGTAATAAAAACACACTGTAAAAATGCATTATTCAAGATTTTCTCGACGCAGAGTAAAGGGTTTCTTGCGGCCGAACTCATTGCATCGATGCAGTTTTGGCATCCAAGACGCATACGGGAAGCCATCGAGATCCGCAAGTACAACACAGTTCCGCAAGACATCGGGTTTCAACTCAACGACATCTGGCTCCCACTTCTCCAGACTGATGGGTCTCCTATACCATAGGTCCTCAGCTACCACCTTAGACTGATGGGTCTCCTATACCCTAGGTCCTCCCTCTACTGACACTGCAACCCTACTGTTCCACTTCAGTGGGCACTAAGCTTGTTCTAGGATCCTGTCTACTTGGCATCCTCACATGATTCAACCTCACACTTCATAGACTTCGCCCTTTGCTACTTAAGTATTCACTTTCTTAGAGTTTAGGCACTCTCCTGAATACTGACCGGAACGTCGAGTTTATACCTCTGATTCTTTTCAGAACCATTCTCTTAGTTGAGAAATTATTTGCACATGGTGTTTCCGCAGACCTTTCATTATTCAGTATCTCCACCATGCAAAGCCTCAAATCTTACTTGTTATGTTGAAAGCCGTCCCGTCCCTTTCAAAATGCTCTTCAATACTGAGTACATTTTGACTTGCACCCACTTGTGGCATGATCTCAGTTTGTCACTCCGGAATAATAATTTGTATTCACAGATAATGTATGCGATTGCAAACTAAACTTAATGGGTTCAGGCGAGAGCAGTGTTCAAAATCCAAAGGTTGTTTTCCTGTTTGGTCCAAACAATCGCGAGGAAATGATAGTAATTCCCCCCTTTTTTTGGGAAAAAATATGGCATTACTACGGTTGCAGAAGTTAGTCACTCACTCACCCACTCACCTACGTTTGTTTATGGCGTAAATCGAGGATTTTAATTTGTTCCTGTTCCCTTTTCCTTTGTTTGTACCCACTTTTTCGCTACAGCTCTCATTGGTTGTGTACACGTTTTCTAATTGAGGTCGTCTGGCATTTTGGGAATCCACATTGCACTGTGAACTTGCAATCACATCGTCAATGCAAATGCAAATTCAACGATGCCTACAGTGGTGGGCTGTGGGTCAAGGTGCTGTACGCGTGTGCAGATAATGAGAGTGCGAACTGGAAATTCCCGGCCTGTGCAGGCCTGCAATGTCAGAGAATACTGCATACTGCGTCAGCAATTACCACGAATTCGTCTTCGGAGATTCATCTTACCCGACTAAATATTGTTGGATTATCCACTTGGAATAACAAACGAAACAAACAGCTGACCATAGCAAACGGGTGGTGTTGTTTGTTACAGGTACTAGGCCCCATGGTGAGTTCGAGCGTGGTTCGGGTATAATCTAGCCCCATAAATGTGGCCAATTTACTGGACTACCGCCGTAAACATAGGCCACACTTCCAATGTACAAAAACGTGTGGAACTTTGTCAAATTTTGATTTTCACATTTAGGCTTAGTTTGTAGGTTTGTTTTGCTTAAGAAGCATACTCGCCCTCTTTATAGGCTAATCAGAAAGTGCTTCCTTTTTCAGATGTCTATTTTTCGTGAAATTTCCAGATTCATTTGCACACGTTTGCGTATCAAAATTTCAACATGAAATTCCACAAAATTAGACATCTGAAAAAGGCAGCACTTTCTGATGAGCCTATAAAGAGGGTGAGCATGCTTCTAAAGCCAAAAAAAAAACCCTACAAACTAAGCCTAAATGTGAAAGTAAAAATTTGACAAAGTTCGAAACTTCTTTTGTTGATGTGGAAGTGTTGCCTATGTTTACGGAGGTAGTCCAGTAAGTTGGCCACATTTATGGGGCTAGGTACGAATATTATACTGATTGGAATTCACGGCAAATAATAGGCACTTGCGTACACTAGGTGGGGGCGTATGCTGACGTCATCCGATGAAAACATCTATTTATTTGCATACCAGTTTTCATCGGTAACCAGTGTTAACCATTACTGCACTAGAGAGCAGGAGGTCGTGGGTTCGACTCCCACCCGAGTGATTTTTCCCCCAACTTTTAGTCGGGAGGTAGCACATTGAGTATATAGTGTTAACACGTCGGTGAAGGGCAAATACTAATATTGATTTACATCTTCCCTACGCAAAAAAATCCATCCGAATATTTTGGATTGTTTTCTATCATATGTCAAAGATCTGGTTGAAAGGAAACTGACCTAATATCTTACCGTTCCCGAGAAAAGACGAAAAGCCCCGGTTGTTTGCATTGGACGCGGCTGAAATTTTGCAATTTGTAGCATAAGCATATATCAAGACATCATGATACAATATACACTTTGTGTGAGTGACACACAATACATGTACAAACGGCATCAATACAAAATTATTGTTTCTTTCACGTCCTCAAAATGCGAACCACTTTGCGGCGGGATTCACAAACTCACAGCTCGATTTCTGGGGGTCAAAATAAACATTATTGTGACCCTCGAAATTCGTTCTCGCATGGTTCTCGCAATAATAACACAAACAATGCCCAGTTTGGTTGAGTGGCCGTAGACGTTTGTATCCCACTTTTAAATGTTCTTTCAAATTTTTATATACTTTCTTTTAAAACGCGTTTTGTAGCCCAATTGGGCGCATTCCGGGCCGTAATACCCCTTTAAAGTACACTGACTTTGTTTTAAAATTTGAGTTTCCGGTCATTTCACTCATTTGTTTCCTTTTAAAAGTATCGCTCCGTTTATAACATTGTCAGTTCTTTGTTCATGATTTGCCCGTGACGTTTTCTTTTATGTAGTAGTTAGGTTTTAGCCTATAGAGAGAGGATTTGATTTTGTGATATTGGGTCCCCCTCCCTTTTTAACTGAGAGCGATTCCATAGTATTTAAATTTAAGTTAAGCTGATCCAAATTGATATCCCTTGTACAAGCATTTTTTTTTATTATCAATGTTATGTATCCTATTTTCTCAGAAAAAAAAGATTTGTTTTTTAAAAAGACTAATATAATTATGAAGAATGTTTCCATATAGACGCAGTAAACACATTCGCATATTATGTGACATCGTGATTCAGCATGCACAAGTTGTAATCCGTGTTCAATGGTATATATATGATTCTTTTTCTGCAGGGAACTTGATAACATCTGGGCATCATGGCAGTTATGTACACAACAATGATTCTGTTAACACTTGGACTTCGTGCAGCAACCTATAATATATGCCCGGAAAACTCCGGTAAGAGTCTAATCGTCATTTTTCGTCCATTTTCACACCTTGCTCATTGCAAAACCTTCGTTCAAATTTCACGGGAAAATTGACACGTATTTTCACACGCGGTTTAATTTAGCGAAAATATTGTCCACTCGCGTATTTTGAGAACATTTAGGCCTACATGAAATCAAAATGATCCAACTGCGAACTAGAAACGATACTCGTAACCGACTTTCTGTAACTCTGGAAATGGACGAGGAATTATGTTGCGAAATTGGACGAGCAAACCTTTTAACTTTTTAATAAGCCTCTTACCAAGCAAAAACAAACTACTTTTGATCTGGGTCATACTCTTTCTACTATTTTAGCCTGAGGATCGGACATTCACGTGTGCAGAGCCACACGAACGATCGTCTGATAATCGTCATATTCAAATCTTATGCGACCCCCGCGCGCCAGCCAATCAGAGTCAACTTTAGAAACTGTGACGTCATTTCGATCAGAACTGTGGACCAAACTGTTTATTGTATTGGTCAATTTGGCTGCCATTCTAAAAAGAACATTGGGTTACGGACGACCCAATAGAAGACGCAGTCTTATTTTGCATAATTAATCACTGAATCTGCGCAATTACCATAGACGCTTGTATGCATGTGGTTATTCCTTAGACTAGGCATGATTAATAATTGTTTACACAATTATGAATGTCAACTCATTCGTGAATCATTTTTTTTGGTGTGTTAAAAGTTTTAGAAAGTAGCATTACAAAATATGGGTAATTAAGTTTGAAATCTAAAATCAAGTACAAAGGTTTATATTTATTTTATGAAAAGGTTACTATACCGTGACCACGTTATGGAGGCAATACTATATATAATTATAAGAAACAAATACTGTAATGTTATTTTTCCCAATTATGTTTCGAACCGTTATAGCACTAAAATTGTCTGAGCGGGCGATACACAGTCTTTATTCCCCTATTCTTTTTACAGAATAACTTTCAGATTTCTAAGAATTTTGTATAATTAATGATACACTTGCAACGTTGTTATTTGTTTTCAGTTAACAGTACTCACGGTGCTTTTGGTGTAACCAATTACGTTCAAAAAGGCGTGTGGCACCAAGTACCCTGCCCGTCCTTTCGTCCCGATGAGGCTATCAGTCGGGTCATTTGGTACAAACAGGACAGTCCCACGACTCCTGAGCAAACGTTGATCACGCACAAACGTAACGCAGACTACCCGGAGAGCGACAGGTACGCGTTCGGGACGTCTGGTTTCAGCCTCGTCATTAAAGGTGTCGAAGAGAGTGATGGAGGAAGGTATCTCTGTCAAATCTTACCACGTGACACAATATCTCGACTTGAAGAAATCAGCATCCAAGCTATAGGTAAGTTTTTTTGTTTTTGTTTGGTATTGTAGACATAATATTTCCCTAGAGGGTATAGAAGGCACCTATCTAAAGTTTGTGACTAGATTCGGACTCTATTGGAGGCAGAGGCAGATTAAAGATAATACTATTCAATCTGACAATACATATTTCCCCTCATTGAAACAATTATTGACTGCTCTACAAGAATACCCTAGCGGCTTAAGATATCACTTTTTTTCCAGTTTCCATCGATAACACTGTCAAATAATAGCCGATATTCATCTCCAATAACACAGGTGACACCTTTCCAGGAGGCAGTAGTCAGGTATCTTCCACTGCTAGTTTCCAGCGAGGTCGCAGACAGACGCTACCGTGTGAGTGCGCGTCACAGACACCAGACGTAGTGTATTGGTCAACGGGAGAGGGCGTCACTACAGATACACAGATCATTGGTGCGCGTTTCTCTGATGGTGCCACCCTGCAGATCCAACATGGCGCCGATTACAGCATTGGTAGCGACGCTTCACTTACAGTCAACTCCCTGAATGACGTACAAGATACACAGAGATTCTGGTGTCACGTGTTCCAGTCAGACGGTACTCTTAGAAATTGTGACACCAATGTTCAGATATCAGGTAATGCCAATAGTATGTAAATCGATGGAAAAGGCTCGTGTTACTACTTCAGTGATGAAGTTATTGCCATAAAATACATTTTTAAAATAAGATATAAACAGAACAAGAAACATTATTTGAAAAGTTTTTACCGATGTTAAAATCGTCCACTGTCCGTTGTTAAACACATGCTCTACAGGGTGAGTAAAAAAAAAAGCGGAACCCAAACCCCAATCATTATATTTCACATTTTAAACAAAAGATGTTGCATCAAAAATAATAATGACTGGAAAGCCAATTTCATAAGCAACTTTTAGATGAAAAATATTGAAATTGCTTCAATTTCAAAGTTAAAAGTATATAACATAATTCCTTTGAAGGCCTGTCTTTTTTTTAAAGTGGATTTTGTAATTCTATTGTTTGCCTAACCAGGGTTGTTAATAAAGATATAGTGTAATACAATTTTTGACAGTTGTTTAAACAAGCAGCCTGTGTCACTTTCTTTGTTGTTCCAAACAGTTAGTTTACACAATAAATTGGGTGTTATTTTGGACGAAATGGTCATTGCGTTTAAATGGTGATATTGTTTAAACAGATTGAGCAATTTCAACAATTCCAGTCATTATTATATTTGGTGCTTCATGTTGTTTTAATATGAAATATATTTTGGGGGTTTTGGTTCCGCTGTTTTTTTTACTCGCCCTGTACATTTCTTTGAAGTAGATGAGATGGAATCAGCTAGTGATGCACTGAAGGCATCAGAAAGATCTTTCTACCTGCGAAGTGACACACAGCAGATACTCCCTTGCCTGAGCTGGACACCTGGCGACACAACTTGTGAGGTGGAGTGGAGTAAGCTCGACAACCCAGATCGACAAGTCCTCAGTTACAACCTGTCGACTGGTGTCGTCGTTTCTAGTCCTAAATTCGATCTCGCAAGTGACTTTGGTTTGGTGATTCAGTCAGTTGATGATGACCATGCTGGAGTGTATCGATGTGCTGTGGGAGATGAAAACCAGATTGATGTCGAAGTCCGAGTGATAGGTAGGTGTTTGGATTGAGCTTGAAGCTGAGACTTCAGATTTCTAGTTTCAGGAAAATTACCATTTGGTCTGTCATATCTGCAAGGTTTCATATGCAGGCATCATTCCAACCTTTTTTTTTTCTCTCTCATTGTGCTTTCTTACTATAGGGGATCGCTTTCCATTGGCCGGCGGTAGCGCTACAGAAGGTAAAAGCGTGACTTTTAAACCTGAAAGTAGATTGTCTCTTCAATGCCCGGCTCTCTCAGACATCTCCTTGACAACCAAAGCAACTTTGTTCTGGTCCTTTGGCGCCCCTGATGCAGAGTCTACCACTGTGATTGGCACACTGAATCTACCAGATGGTCCAATAAAGATGTCTGATCCGGGTGACAATAGTTGCCTAGACATATCAATGGAGGGCGCTCTGCTCCTTAACAACTGTTCCCAAGATGATGATGTCAGATACTGGTGTCATGTCTTCCCTGCGAATGATAATCTGATCAGGTCATATGTGGATGTGTTGATAGAGAGTAAGTTTAGGCCTTCCATGACGTCACATCTTGGTACCATGTTTGTCGGTTTGTCTTATCATAATTATCATACGTTGACGTATCTATCAATGCAGTGTGTTACATTTACTTTTATCTTTGACAGAAAAAAATGGACTGCCCTTAGTTAGAAGCTCGATAAAAATTATATGCTTAAAAAGAACTTTGATGGAAAACGCAGTGATGCGCCATGGCAAAAGATCATCAGAATGACGCTATGGAATCCTTTGTGGGATGCCAAACTATCCTGTGCTGTATATCCTAGTCTCTGTAAAGAAGATTATTCTGTAAAGAGGTCTGCGGGAATTATTCAAGTCATCGTTTGACATACTTATACAAAATCCAAATTGTCTTCCATTGCTAAAGATCGACATTGTTTTAATTATTCGATGTTCATTTGATTATCTGTATGCATTAGATTCAAACGGTGTTCCTGAAACATTCAATATCGTCTTCATCGTTTTGTGCGTGTTTACAATCATCTTTCTTCTGGGGCTTGTTCTGATCCTGATAAGGAAATGGCGTCGACGTTATGCGCGTCTCGGAGAAGACAAGGAGAGAGGTTACTTTAGACGGCTGCGTAAACAAGGTAAGAAAATGACAAGGTTGATGAAAGAGATCGCCTATGAAGTACATGAGACAAGAATAAGAGGAAATCATCGTGAGCGTTCATAAGTTGTTGCAACACTTTCTCGCATTTTGCATCTGTCAAAATATTCCGATGTATGTTTTTTGTTTCATAGTAATGTTTAAAGAAAGTCCAACCTGGACTGTGCTTTATGAGAATACGAACCTGGTTTGGTACTAATTTATTTCTTAGTTAAAAAACTGGTTTCCATTGGAGACCTGCATGCATGACAAATTATTCAATAATGTTAATTAAAGTCCAACTCATAAGGAAAAGTGCATTAAATGTTGGGAAAAAAAAAATAATTTAACCAGAGAACATAATCGTTGTAGACTAGACGCATCACTCCAATTTTAATTTGTTTAGAAAGTAAAGTGAAAACCTTGCACCTATCAATCGAAACCTTTATGTCTAAGTTCGGGAGATGTAGTATGTATTGAAAAACAACAGTGCAGGATTGTGTTTGTGAGTTCAATGTAACGGCCTACAAGCCAATATGTATCGATTTGAATTTGTTTTTCTACAGAGCCTGTCACGGAGCTGGATTTGATGACGCTTGCCTCCAAGATCAAATCGTTTGTGAGCAGCAAACTGAACAGAATTCCCATTACTCCATGGGTTGACGGGGACGATGCTTGTTTCGCATCAATAGATGAAGTCTACACACCCTTAGAGATGTTCGTCAATGTCTCAAACGGAGGGATCACTGTAAAGTATCGATTAGACTCAGACTCTGGTATATTTGATGATGGTATTCAAGAATTGGCCAGTAAGCATGCTATAATACAAGGTAGACGGGGTTGTGGTAAGACTACGTTTTTGTACAGACTGATATACGACTGGGCCATGGGAAGGGAACGTGCACTATGGGGTAGTGATCAGATAGTTGTTCTTGTCCCAGCTTGGTTGCTTATTAAAGCTAAAACCATCGGTGAAGCAGTCGTTGAATGTATGCTTCCAAAAGCTGCAAACATTTCTGTAAAATCCATTAATGCACACTACGCACGAGATAGAAGCAACCTGACCATTTTGGTTGATGACTGTAATGACCAACACGACATTGACGCTGTCATGAAAGTAATGACTGACAATGAATTTCTTGACTGTCAGTTGGTTTTGACCACTAGAAACGCAGAGCTGGCAAAAGCTGCTTCAAGAAAACATAACATGCGGCATCTCACCATTACCGGATTTACGCTCGAACATGCTATCGGGTACATCAACGTAGTATTGGATGCCGCTGAAGACAGAAAGAAAGCTACCCCTGAGCACAAGGCAGTCAAGAGTAAAGCTGAGCCGAAATCAGGTTCGACTGTGGACACAAACATCCAGCAGGATCTGCCCAAGGCAGAAGAGTCTCCAACAGTGTCAGCTCCTCCAGAAACCCAGGAAAGCACTGCCACAGACACATTTCCTGAGAAGATAGAAGTACCCAAAACACCCAGGAAACAAAAAAGGAAACGAAATCTTCATCAATATCTAGCAGAGGACATTCTACCAACGGATATTTCATGTCTCCCAGCTGTCTTGGTTGCTCTCTGTCAACTGTCAATCTTGACAGAAGGAGTTGCCTTTAAACCCGACGTTACCATGGCAAATGTGTTCATCAGATTGGTCAAGTGTATGTTCGACAGGATGAAAGGTCTGGAAGTAGGTGTCACTGAGGGAGAACAAATCAGTTTGCTCACGGAAGACCAACTCAACGTACTGGCAGAGCTTGGTAGAGTGGCATATTCAAGACTGGTTGAGAGTTGTGCAAATTATGCGGACTACTCGAAAGAGGACTTCTTGAGTTTGTCAGAGAAGGGAGAACACGCCTTGGAAGTTGCAATAGAAGTTGGACTTCTTCGTCCGTTGCAGTTTGAGTCTAAGGATGAATCTACGGAACAAAGTACTGAGGCAGTTTCTTCTGAGGTATCAGAAGTAAAAATACGGACAGGGATTCTGTGTTGTAAGCGGAAGCAAAAGCAACAAAATGGGACTGATCCAGATCCCATGAGCCAGGATACAGAGCTCACTCCGCTGACATGTCCTAAGAATGAAAGGGTTTGTTTTGTTTTGGAGATTCTTGAGCAACTTTGCGTTGCGGTGTGCTTGTCTCAGATCACAGGAAAAGTAAAAACATGGTTGGAAGACATCGCAAAAATGAGCCACAGGGAGTTTCAAAAGAGGTTTTCAAATGTATTCCTTTTTGTCATCCAAGATAACCAGGTTGACAGAGAAGCTCTTGTTGATTATTGTGCAAAGATCGTCAACAGGGGATACAGTCAGGCCAGGCCCTACCACGTTGTACTGCAATTGCAGAAGTACGTAGAGTTGTGTCTCCAGCTGAATTTCGAGGGGCAGTGCGAGGGCGCCTTGAACAAAAAGCTGAAATCGGTCTTTCCTGAGGAGAGGATCCGCTTAATTGGGATATCGAGTTACAAACTGCGTATGTTGTCATACTTACTCGAACACGCGCAGCCAGAAGACAAGAGCAACCTGAATGTCAAGTCGGTTGAATTATTACGAATTGCTAAATGTGACTGGCCTGAGCTTCAAGAATACATTGAATATTTTATCTCCAGGAAAAAGGGACATGGAGAGAAGAAATTAGTTGAAAGGAAAACCAAAGACAGTCACCTAGCTGCAACTGGAACCCAACAGGAGGTCAAATCAAGCAAAACTGAGTCTCAACCAGACACAGAAAATCAAGCAACGTCCGAAGCTTGCCAAGCAACAGACCCAGATCCACAGAACGACATGGAAATATCTTCCATTAACGGAACCCAACAAGCTGGTCAATCCCAATCCAACACTCAACAAACTTCAGTTCCACTTCAACAGGTTGACAATGAACAAAAGTCCGTGCCAATCTTCACAGAAACCCATCTGAGAAATGAATCAAATTTGGAAGTCTGCCAATCTTCAGTTTCAGATGCAAAGATTGACAATGAAAAAACTGCTTCACTCGGCCCTCAAACCGGTCTTGGAAATGTACCTGAAACACAACCTCAAAATAATACGAGAAATTCACTCGATACTGAACATAATCAGCCAAGTGCACTTCAACCAAATGCGGTTGTCGAGCCCCTTTCAGGCCCAAGAGACGAGGAAAACAAATCAGACGATTTATCGCTTTCAAAACCACAGGTGGGCGACTCACCAAATGAGGACGATGCTAATGTAGGTAAATCTACAAACTGGTCAACAGATGTGGATACGGCATCGTATGATGTAATTGATAGTGAGACGGAATTGGCTGTACTCAAAAAGCTGCGGGCGATAATAGATTCCAGAGAACCAGACCTGCCTCGGTTTCCTCCTGGAATGTCAGATATCAGTGTGCTCCAAACTCTGCAGACTTTTGGTATGCAGGAGCTCTTAGAGTCACAGGCAGGGGAGTGCTACTCATCTGGTGCAGCAGGAGACCTGGCTCGCTACCTTCCTCGTCTGGGAATGCTGGAGAGTCTGGTTCTGGTTGGGACGATTCTGAGTTCAGACGCTATTTGCGACTTGGCGAAAAGTGCTGAACGACTCCCGAATTTGAAGAAGCTGGATCTCCGTCTAAATAGACAGTTCGATGACAGAGCCTTTGTGGCGGTGACAAATTTACTGCTACGTCAGTGCAAAAAGTTGACGGATCTAAGACTGTCTCTGTACAGAGTAAAGGATGAAGGGTTTGATAAAGTTCAGAAGGAAATGCAGAATGGTGGCGAATACTGGTGGGGAAAACTGAATACACTGTATCTGCTGCATGGATCACCTGCTGGGAAGTTTGTAGGTTTCCTCAGCAACAGCTTAGAATATTTCCATTCTCTTAAATGTTTTCATCTCTCAGCCATTTATAAAAGGCAAGAAATACAAGACAAAATTCAGGA